CCCCCCCCCCAGCACGCCACGCGTGTTTGGGGTCAGGGAAGAAGAGGATCAGCCTGCGCTGGGGTTGTGAGCTTACGGGAGGGCGTGCTGAGCTGCTGATGACCGGTTCCATTTGCAAAGCAAAGGGGAAGCTGCCAATCATGGCCGCACGATTTAAACTTTTTCCTTGTGAAACAGACGTGCCTCTGCTTCTGGTGTAATCGCAGCAACCACATAGCCTAATAACGATTGCATGCCGTTGCCCCCCTCAGTCAGAATAACGCGAGGGGGAACTCGACTCCTCTTCCGTGAGTCGGACCGGGTGGGCAGCCCGCCGGATAACGAGAAATTGTTCCATATTCCGGCCGCTTTATCCTCTCGTCGTCTTACGGCATCGAGCAGCAGCGAGGCGACGGGACGCCACACATCCGATGCAAATACACCTATACCCGTTCCGTTCCGTTCACACTCCGGGCCGGCCGAGTGTGAGGCGGAAGCTGCGCCTGCTCTATGTGCCTGAGAAAGCATCGGGCGTGTGTGAGTGAGTGGGCCGTGGAGCACTTCTCTGCGGCGGATGCGGCTCAAAAGTCTAGCCGGGGTGAAAGGACTCGCCGCGGCGACACTCTCATATCCCAGCGACTTGCCTCTCTATCGGACTCAGCCAGCCAGCGGGAGCGGGTGAGAAGCGGCAGCCGGCGATGCGATCAAGGAAGGGGCTCTTACATTGTCTTGAGCCCCCAGCCAGGCGCCAGGCCATCGCGCCACCCGCCACTCGCCAGCCAGGGGAGACAGGCGGCCGACCTTGCCAGATAACCCAAACACGCCCACGCACTCTAGCGCCAGGAGACGGGAAGCAGATGCCCGGCAGGGGTGTGTTTATAGCGGGAAACTATCGAAGAGACCAAAAGACAATCGGCTGCTGCGGTGAGACGTATCCGGCTTGTTGTAGCGTAGCTAAAGGCCGGCACACTTAGCGCAGAATTCAAATGTTCGCGCGCGGATATATTTGAATTCTGCCCACAATCTCCCCTCTGCATCTTTCCGTACCGAACAGCAACAGGCTGGAAGAAGAGAGATCCTCTTGGAGAGATCCTCTTCGGCTGGAGCGGGTGGGTAGGCAACTCAGCGCCGTGGCGGCGGATGGGTTGCCTACCACCACGGCGCCGGCCGTCCTGCGCGCGCGCGCCCAGCCGGCCGCGGGAAGGCGCGGCAAGTGCGAGTGAGAGAGGGCGACGGTGAGGTCTCCCCTCTCTCTCGCTTGTTGTCACGGGCCGGCGCGCCCCCGGTTTGGTCAAGGCCGTGGTGCTGGCTGTGCCGTGCTGTGCGCCCGTATCCGCGCACCGTACACTCCGATAGTGGAGAAACTAGCACGACGGAGAAAGGCCCCGAATTATTCAGCCGGAAATGAATGAATGCATGAGGAATGGATTGGATGAAAACGAGATTGTTTGAGATGCAGCGGCGCGCGCTGCTGGTCCGGTCCGGCGCGGCATATGCATGTTGTCCGGGCGCGCTCGATACGGACACGGACGGCCGACAGAGGAGAGGAAAGTCGATTTGCGCGGGATAACATCTCCCGCAAACTAATCGCACGGGAGTCGTGCCGTCGTCGAGATTCGGCGCACATAGTCGATCTCCTGCGCGCTCGCTCGGGAGAAAAGTTTGAGGGGGGGGGGACTAGACGGCGGTATGGCAGTTGACCTGCATTAAGTGGACGCCTGTCTGGCCGCACTGGGTACACGACGGGTGCGATGACCCTGCTGCTGGGGCGTGGGCTGCCCTATGGGCTGCTCGCCGCGCCGGACATAGCATGGCGCGATGCCACTCACGAGTGCACGACACTGCTGCTGCTGCTGCTGCTGCTGAGCGAGAAAAAAAGAATGTCTAATTACTTGCTAACGTGGAAGCATTTTGTTTGGAATCGTGCGCACGCCGCGGCGGGCTGGCGCTTCAGTCCTGCGTGTCGGCGCGCGCACGCCAGCGCACGCCCGCTTCCCTCCAGCCCCACCACCCCGATCGCAGTCACGGCAAAAGCAGTGAATGAAAAGTCGACGTCGCTGGCTGGAACCAGGGGCAGATAAGGTAACTTCTCATATCCCGTGACTGTCGAATTAGACCGGGTCATTATATTGATTGATTTCTTGCTGAGGAGGGGGGTGGGGGCGTTCCTTCCGCCCGTAACGCGGTTGTCGTCGTGCGAGGAGAGGACATCGACGCGGTGATGCCGAGTGCCGATCTACCTACCCACCGCATGTGCAAAGTTATGTCCCTCTCTTTCGCTCTTTGTCACACCGAGGATCGCACGTTGTGCGTGGTTCGCAGCATGGCAGTGCGAGGGCGTGTTTATGTATTGATTCGCACGCCGACTGGCCGGCCTCCTGGAGGCCAGTGACCGCCCCCCGTGGACACGACGCTATGCGCCACAGGTCTGGAACCGGTGGCATCCTGGCAGGTCGTGAACGCGACAGTAGTTGTGGCCTCGCGGGACGCAACCAATGCACAGCGCAATGGGGATCAACAATGTTGCAGATGTTCCGCGAAGACGGCGGCGGTGCGGTGGCGTGAGTCAATGCGGTGTCATGACGCCTGTCTCTGCCCACGCCGCCGTGCCCCGCGCAGAACTGCATCATCGAGTGCATCCAGCGCTGCTCTCGCGCGCCCCGCCCCGCCCCGCCCCGCCCCGCCACACGGCGCAGAGAAAGCTTGCCTCATAAAGCACTCGAGCACCGGCCCATCCCAGTCGGTCCTGGGCAGTGTCGCTGGCCGGCGGCGTGCCCGGCATACCGCAGACCATCGCGGAGAGGTCTCGCGTAACGCCTTGGCACTAAAACAAGTGCCCGCTCTGCTTACCTCCGGCATGTACTTGCTGCGGCGGGAGCTCGGGCGGCCGAGGGTGGCGCGGCCCCAGTTGCTGACGCTGGTGCTGGTGGAGCTGGCCTCGTCCGAGTCCTTCCGCCGACGGAGCACCAGCACCCGCGGGATGGTGGGCGCGCTGATGGCGCGCTTGAACAGGCCGACGCCCTGCTGCGCGTCGTCCAGCTGTTTCTCGGCCGCCTTGTCCCCTGCCTCCTCCTCGTCGTCGTCGTCGTCGAAGTCGTCGTCGACGTCGCCGTCGAGGTGGTCGCAGCTCTGGGCGGCGCTGGCCTTGGCCGTGCCCCCGGGGGACTGCGGCCGGTCGAAGGCGCCCACGGCCTGCGCGTGCACGTGGCGCATGAGGGTGTCGCCGAGGCGCGCACGCTCGTCCTCCCACCAGCCGCGCACCGACCGCCAGGCGCGGCCCAGGCGGGAGCGCACGCGCTGCACCCGCGGCCGCGGCGCCGCCGGCTCCCCGGGGACCCCCGCGGCCATGGACTTGGGGCGGCGCGCGCGCTGCGACGCCCGCAGGCTGCAGTACTCCAGCTCCTCGTAGTCTCTGCTGGGCGCCGCGCCGTTGGCGCCCGCCGCGCCGTCCAGGCTGGTGGGCTCGCCGGTGGGGAGCACGTAGTACGTGGAGTACTCGCTCGTCATCACGTTGCTGCCGCTGTCCGTGCTCGTCCAATCGGGCTCGGGCACGGGGGGTGGCGCCGAGGACGGGGGCGCGGGCGGCGACCCCTGGGGCGGCGGCGGGGGAGCGCCTTGCGGCCGCGGGCACGAGTACAGCCCCTCCTCCACGGCGTGCGAGTACGACGGCGACCTGTAGATGGGGTTGACCGTGGCGGACGGCGTCTCTCCCCTGTCCGGAGAGGTCGCGGAGCGCCGCTCCACGCAGACGTACTCTGGCTCCTCGTCCTGCGCTGACGGCGCGGACGCGGGTCTCGCCGCGGAAACGGGCCTCGACGCGCGGCTGGGGCTCGGAGAGTCCGAGTCGGAGGAAGTGCCTCTCGCGTCGACGAACTCGTCGTCCCCGTCGGACGTCATGGCCACCGAGATGCGCTGCGGGGACGCCACCACGGTCTCCGTGACCTCCCTCTCCTTCTGGGGTTCGTCCTCCCACTCTTCGTCCGGAGTGGCTTCGTCGGCGACCTCCACCTCTCCGTTCGTCTTATTCGCCTCCTTTGCCTCGAAGAAGGTAAACGTAATGTTCGGCACTTCCTCGGCCACCGGAGGCGGGGGTGGGGAGGCGCTGGTCGGGCGAGACGCGGGCGGCGGAGAAGATGCCTCTTGGATCTTTTCACCCCCCACGTGCTGCGACATGGTCTTGCCGCTCGCCGCGTTCACCAGCGCGTTGAGGACGAGGTCCGCGATGGACTTGGCGGGGAAGCGAGGCCGCGAGTGCGGAGGGTCCGCGGCCAGCGGCGACCCCTCGCGGCTGCGGCTGTGGCTGCGGCTGCCCCGCGGGGACCGTATTGACCCGTTCCACCAGTGACGGGGGTGCTTGCGGCCCCCGGCGGCAGGGGACGGCGAAGTCGCCGGTGCCGGGGGCGGCGGGGGTGGGGCCGGCGGAGACGCTGCGGGCGGCGGCGGTGGCGGCGAGCCACGAGGTGGACTTCTCCTTGGTGGTGGTTCCGGATTCGTTGCGGCCTTCTCAGTCGGCACCGCCTCAGTCATAGGTTCCGGTGTCGCATCGGGCGTAGGTTCTGGTGCCGCGTCAGGCGAAGGTTCCGTTTTCGCACCGGGCGCATGTTCCGGTGTCGCATCGGGCGCATGTTCCGGTGTCGCATCGGGCGCATGTTCCGGTGACGCATTAAGCGTAGGTTTCGGTGGCGCCTCTTGCGGTGCCTTGTCGGTGCTGTGCGTCGACGCTGGCGCCGTCACTTCGGCCGAGGCCTGCTCCGCGGGCGGCGCCGCCTCCGTGGCCGGGGCCTCCTCGTCGGGCTCCACCGGCGGTAGCGGCTCCATGACGCCCTTCTCTTCCGCTCAGCGCGACATTGTCCACGGCTGCCAACTTTGAAAAGGGCGCCGATCACAGTGAGTGAGCAGCATTGCTCGCCCGGTCGGAGGGAGGGGCGGGTTGGGCGGGGCGGGGAGCGGGAGGCGGGAGGGGCAACGTGAGGCGTGAGGGTGATTGAAAAGCGGCAGAGCAACAGCAAAGCGAGCAGGAGAATGGCCCGCTCGTCTACCCGCTCGGCGAGCGCATTAAGCACTAAGCACTCTATATATCGCCTGATCCAGTTTGGCCGGGCCGACCGCACCACGCCGCGCCACCGCTTTCTACGCGGTGACTGGCGCTGGCAGCGCTAGAGTGCAGTGCGCAGCATGCGCAGCCAGAGTGCACACAGCGCCTACTTTTTGCTTTATCTCATTTCTTGTCCAGGAGGCGGGGGTCACGGTGGTCCCCCCGGTGGTGGCGCGGTCTGTGCGCTGCCGCTGTGTTTGCCGGCCGAGCTCTAATGAGCCCGACACACCGGGCTGTGACCGGAGCCCGTCACACGGCGCGGGTTGCCTCCACCGACCGCCTCCGTCCGGTTGTCCTGGCCCTGCACGGGCTTGCCTTGCCGGGTCGGCCTCGCCATAGATTTACAATGGTGCTACACTCTAGAGTCTCGTTGCTTGGTATCGCTGTTTACAGGTTTCCCCAGGGTTGCCCCCCCCCCTCCCCCCTCTTGTTAAAAGTTCACCCCCGCTGCATACATTACAACGGGCCGTAGCGGCACGTGTCGGGTTTCACACTCCACGCTGCGGTCAAAGAAAAAAAAATAACCCTTTCATGAAAATTACCGAGGGAAAAATTAAATGAGATGCCCTGGCGCGGTGTAATCCTATCGCTGCCGTAAAGTAGCCTTTAGTGGTTGCGCGAGGTCCGCGAGGTAGGAGGGGGGCAGGGGGCCTTCTGTGAGACTAGATGGATATTGGACAAAATGGTTTAAATTCAAAGATGATCGTTAAAGTGAAGTTTTATAAGCACGACTGCCTTCTTTGTCATGTCTATGTGGTACTTTTTTTTTTCCCTCCTGGGGCTTGGGGACCCGGTGGGATCGCGGGGGGACCCAACTTGGCAAGAGAGACGTGCGTGCAATGCAGCGTGCATGTTCAACTTAAGGCCTTACATCACAGTTAAGCCCCTAGTTTTAAACTTGTTGTTTCTGGTTATTTTTTAGAGTTAAAATAAGTCAGGTGATCAAAACTAGGTAATATTTATGTATGTAGGTTCCCTTTTAAACAAATCATACAAAAAATAAGTTCCGGAAACTTTGGGTTTGTAAAGGAACGACAGTTTTCATACTTGAGTCATTTTTCCCAATTATCACTTAACGCGCAAGATTTCAGAAGCTAGGATAATGATAAAACCTTTCCGTAACTTCTCAAATATTTGAAAGACATGTCATTTAGGGCTGAACCAATGAAAACAGCAGAAAATTATTATTTAAAACA